AGTACACTCTAAGTGGTGTCAGCATATGCATTTCTTTTTTTGTTTCCTTATTATTGAGCTGTAAAGGTGATGGTCCTTTTCCACCAGGCACAGATTGAGGGGCAGTTTCAGTCTCCATGCCTCCCCAACAATGGGCAGATAAAATAACTACAACTGACTATGTATAAAAGAAGTAAACTTAAATACATTCATAGATAATCGGTGGTTAGACGGTCCACTCCCTAAAGGCGGGAAGAGTCTAAACTGTGCCCATAACCCAGACAAAGTGGCTGGACAGACACTTGGTGAACAGCACCATGACACCCGTCACTAGATATGAAATAAAGGCAGCCATGTGTGTCTGGTAGAGCAGGTCCCTGAGATGTCACAGGTTGGCAGGGAGTCAGTTAGCTCCAGTGCACGTCTTCCCTTTGCAGGGAACTCTGTATAGTCTGCATGTCTCGGAGTAGCTGGAGGTTCTTCTTGCTTTTCTCTCCTGGGCTGCCTCTGCCCTGACGGATCTTTGCTGCTGGTTTATCCTGCCGGCGGTGGGGAGACTTCGAGTCCTGGGCCAATGGCTCTCTTTTCGGTCTCGATTCCCTCAGTAGTTTTACAAGCTGTGGTGGGGACAAGTTGTATGAGTAAACAGCATTTACAGATCATTATTTCTATGACAAGGTGGCAGCCCATGAAAGACCACATAAACCATTCCTATACTGTGCCTTCTCCAAATACTCAAGATGTACCTAAACCTCATGGAATAAATACATTTAATGATGTATTAGGGATTACAGAGCTGGGCTAGTTTATATATTATATACCTGCCTAGAGTTTCACCTTAATGCACTTCTCTCATTAAAATGAACGTTTTCTCTTCAATTAATCACTATGGCACATTATCAGCCATCAACCAAATCACGTTAGTGTGAAACAGAAACTACCTTTTATTTTTTCCAAAGAGATAAAAACAGAACTGCATCATCCTCCTCCCTCGTGTTAGGCAGAACAGTCACATGGTCCCTGGCTATCAGGAGCATTGTGGATGTTTTACACCTCTAGAGACTGCAGAAAGTATGTTGTTTTCAATCAGATAAACCCTGTGTGGCAGACTTGTAGTAAGATAAGTGGTTCAGGCCGGCACAATCACAAGGCAGCATGACTATTTGGAATTAGTGCAGCAGAGTAGATATTGCTGACCTTATGTACATACAAGAAATTGCCGTGACTGACCTCTCCTTTTGAATACCAGTTATCATGCTGACACTTTACTTTTAATATTTGATCTTACTGCTCTAACAATGTTTAGATCTACATCCTTTTTTTTGGGGCTCCAAGAGCACATCGGTGTCTTGACACTTTACCAAAGCGGTTTATGTCGAGGAGCCATTTAGTGCCGCTATCACTTCCATGGTCCCCTTGTGGATCATACAGGACATGCACTCCAGAGAGGGAATCAGATTATCAGCTTAACATCAAGCCAGCCTAGAGGTAAAATGAGATCTTCACACTATGAGCACAGAGAGCAGGAGAGACCCATTAGAGGATCAAACCCTTCCCTACTACATCCAACACTACTACAACATGGAGGCTCAGCATAGCCTGTGGGCATTACCTAGGGCAGTCTGCATGCAAATACAGTCTACCTAGGATTGCCCACTCCTCCAGACTGACATCCTCCCATTAGGACATTGATTTTTGCATAACCCCTCCCAAGGTCACGCCCAATGCTTGCATCAGAGTTGAGGGCTTTAGAGACTAGTACAGGAAGTCATGGACAGTACCTTTTTGGCACCTTGCACCAGCCATGACCGGCCTGCATTACAGAGAAAAGCACAGATGATCCAGATGTCATTACTGGGTCTTAAACTTCAGCTTTACACCTCATGCACACAGCATGAGGATTCCTGTGGCAAGAACCTGGGGAATAAAGTGGCATGAATCCCAGGTGTGTCTGTACAGATGCAGCCATTGTGCCCATTCAAATTAATGACAGACTGACAGCAACTGCGGCTGGAAGGATGCTTGTCCCTGGATGCACAAAGACTGACATACCTGGCATTCCTGCCACAGAAATCCCCAGCAGCTGCTTCAACCGCCTCATGCATGAAGCCTTACATCCATCCTCAGTAGGTATAATTATAATAGTTTATCACATAAAGCATGTGACCCACCCTTGCTTGGTGTTTGCGTACTTTGGTTATCTGGTCAGCTTTTGTTTCCATTCTTCTCACTAGAGTTGCCAATTCAAATTCAAGATCCATTTTAAGGCGGTCAGAATGTGCTTTATGTATCTGCTTCAGCAGCTCCTGATGATCACTGAAAAAGAAAGTTAAAAAAAAATAAACCAAAATAGTAAATTTGTCTTCCAGAATAGAGCTGGATCTTATCTGCTCCTTCTACACAAAAGCAGAAAAACAGAGAAAACAACCCTCTCACAAATCACCATCTGTATATCAATAATATGAAGGAACACAGCAAATAAACTATGACGACCATGTTAAAACTGTACACTTCCCTCTGAAACTCACCATTTTACATGTTTGCTTTAAAGGTGGATCTGAATAAGAAGACTAAACGTGGCCTGTCCAACAGCTAAGGAGAGAATGTAAAGAGTAGGTTCATTTAGGCCAACTAGGGGTACACACACCCCAAGCTGCTAATAGGGATAAAAAGTAGAACCCTAGGAGGTGCACATACCTGCAGCAGCTTTCATTGACCCTACACTGCCTACATGGTGGGCACCCTTTGCACTCCAGCTGTGCTGAAACTACAATTCCCATCTTGCAATGCCTCATGGCATTTGTAGTTTCACCACAGATGCAGTGCAGGGGCTTGTGTTAGGCTGTCCCAATCAGAGAAAGCTCTGGAACTGCCTTGCTAGTGTCAAAACTTCTGCATAATTGTGTGTCAGACAGAAAATAATATGTGGGGAAAATGCATCAACAAAAGGGGCAGAAGCCGAAAAAAAAAGCATTTTTATTAGGGATGCATTGTTATATCGGCCGAAAGTGCCATTTTCCTGCCAATACATAGACGCATCAAAGGTTTCTCTCCTCCCCGCTGGGCGCTGCTCTGTTTCCCAGCGGGGACGAGAGAAAGTGCGATAGCCTCCTATCACAGTCCGGCAGAGCGCTGTGTGGGCGGAGAGAGGCCGCGCAGTCACAGGAGGCTGAGCTCTCCTCCCCGCACTGTTCCATCAGTGTGTCAGGAAGGAGAGCGAGGTACAAACACTCAGTGATCGCTGAGTGTTTGTAGATAATTGGGGACATGGTATGTTTACTATATCCTCAATTATGAATGAATGGGAGTGAGCTACATCACCTTCTGTTCCTCATGTTAGGAATGAACAGGAACACTCTGTATAGAGGATTCCTGTTCATTGATAACAGGGGACACAGAAAAAGAGATTGAGGACTTTGTATCTCCAATCTCTTTTTCCATTTTAAAAAGGGAAATATCAGGGGTCTGTTTAGACCCCTAATATTTCCTCGAAGCCCCCAAGAGTAAAGTAAAAATAAAAATATTTAATAAAAAATGAATTAAAAAAATGTAAAAGTTTAAAAAATAAAACATTTTTCGGTATCGGTCTGACAATTTTTTTTATTTCGGTTTCGTTTTTAACATTCCCATTTTGGTGCACCTCTAATTATTATACTTACCGTAAAGGCCTTTTTCTTGGAGTTCACTGAAGGACACAGGAATTCTTACATTGTCGGATTTTACTACCATGTAGGCAGCAGCATACCCCGATAGTGTAAGAATTCTTGTGTCTCTTAATGAACGATAAAGAAATGCATTTTTTTCTCTAGTAGTGTCCCTTTGAGGGAGATTCCCCTTATTTCTCGTTCACGTGGGCGTAGAACAGGAAGGGAGTGAATTTCCACAATGAGGACAGTATTAGAGGTTCTCCCTCACTCTACCTGAAAGCGTGCAAGCAAATGTATTTGGAGTCCAGTTGTAAAGCCAAGTTTTGTTTTGGATGGAGCAGTAGAGTTAAAACATTGTGATCGGGACAAAAAAAACATGGGAAATTGGTACAGTCTAAATTTTTGCCATAACAGAAGGAGAAATCTTTCACTAGAAACGTTTGTATTCGGTCCAAGCTGTCCAAGAAGGGATTTCCCCTCAATTCTATCTGCGTCTACAGGACAGGAAGTGATGACAAATCTCAATGGATGCTCACCAGGTTTAAACAATTCCTTGATGCCTGCTGGGATTCCATCTTAGTGACAAGCATCTCTAATGCGATCCATAATGAAGATCAACTTTAACTTACAAGCTCATCTGGCCAAACTCATCCTCCAGAGTGAGTAGAATTTCCGAAAGGTCCTGATAGACTTTGGAATCTGGATCATTCTTCCACCTCACTCCGTACTGTTTCCCGTCTATAGGCTGGTCACTGACCACACGATCATTGCACAGGACCTTATTGTGCTGTTTCATGAGATGTAGAACATGTTGCACATTGGCCCCCACTGAATGGCTTGGAGCTGTGGACTGAAAGACAAAAAAAGGTATTAATAATCATTTATAAGTGATCTCATTAAAGTGGAACACCAGCCAAAGTCTTTTTTTTTTTTTTTACATTTTGGATGGAGATATTCAGGTTTTCAGAGATGTTCCCACTGAGGAGACAGGCCCTCACTTCCTGTTTGTGTTAAGCTGACCGTACACTGTGCGAATTTTGGACAGTTCTTGATGAACCAGCTGAAATTCACACTGTGGATGCCCCTGTTGGCCTCTGTCCATCAGAAAATCGGCCACCAACCCTATATGAGCTTGTTGGATCCAAAACCACGGGCATTAATATGGAGATGGCTGTACTAATGTTAGAAGAGAAGACTTGGCTTACAAATAGCCTCCCAATTATTCCTATTATTTAATAGGATTAAAAATTCACTACTGCGGTTCCTGAAGAAGACACTTTAGAGGTGTGAGACGACAATTTTAATGAATGAAATAAATGTTACATTTTAGATCTGCATGGGTTAGATGTGCAGAATAGTGAAGTTCTCAGTAGTATAATGATAAAGTTTCCATATAGAGACAAGTCTTTACATTGAGAAACTGATAAGACCAGTGGGTATATTTGCTGTAAAAAAAGGTTAAGGCAGGTTGAGGTCAGGGCTCTTTGCAGGGCACTAGAGTTCCTCCACACCAAACTCATCAAAACACATCTTCATGGAGCTGGTGTTGTGCACAGGGGCAAGGTCATACCACAACATAAAAAGGGGCCTCCCCCAAACTCTTACCCCAAGGTTTGAAGTGCACAATTGTCTAAAAGGTTATTCTGTAGCAGTAACAGTACCTTCCAGTTACTCAATGATTGAGTTCAGTGCAAAACACCTGAACTCAATCATTCAGAGGAATCTCAACATACCTTTCGCCATATAGTCTGTATAAACATTTAAAAATACACACCCACACAATCCACCCCCTTCATTTCTTCATTCCCACTGACACAAGGAAAATGTAATTTCTATTAGGACAAGCCTTTAACCCTTTCGCTGCCAAGCCCTCCGGAACATTTTTCAAATCAGCTGGCCATACTGACCTGGCCAGCTGGAAGCACTTTTGTAGGTCCGTATGCCATACGTCCTTGGCAGCGAAAGGGTTAAGTGATCATATTGTGAGTTACAGCTTACCGTGCCTGCCACGAATGGAACATCTCCAAGGCTTAGCCTGTAGTGGGGCTGTGTGTGTCCTCTATGGCTTAATGAGCTGGCCCTCTATAATAAAAGACAAAGTGAGAAGACTCATTACCACTAGCCGAGATGTCCCAATGAATGCAAAACACTCACAGCTTAGCCCTAACAAATGTCCCGTATGCTTTGTTTGGTGTACAGAAATCCTTCCTCCGAGAGTGTTACGACAAAGCACCTGAAATCCTCCAAAACATCCTTTCTTGCAAGAACATAAAAGCTATACACAGCTGCTGACGCGTTTCTGCCTGAGTGGCCTTAGCCATAACTCAGGCCACTTAGGCAGAAACGTGTCAGTGGCGGTGTATGGTCTTGCAATAAAAGGATATTTAGGAAAATTCCGAGTCCTGGATGAGCTTCAATTTTAACAGATTGCCCAAGTATTATTCTTATTATACAGGATTTATATAGCGCCAACAGTTTGCGCAGCACTTTACAATATAAGGAAGACATTACAATCACAATACAAATCAAGACAAGATGGTAAGGAGGGCCCTGCCTGTGAGGACATACAATTTAAAAAGGAGGGGGAAATGATACACGAGGAGGGAGCTGTGTGGGGATGAATTGTTTGAGAACGTGATGGTTGTGTGTTTAGGTTGAGGTGGGATAGTACATACTTTACTCTGCCAGACTGCGTAAACTTTACATATTGGCAGGGCTGCCGTCAGGGGGGTACCGCCGATACACATGTAAGGGGCCCGGCCAGCCTTTGGGGCCTGTGAACCTTGCATGTGTATCGGCCGATGGACATACAGGTGCCTGGCGGGAGGTGGAGTCAGCCGGGCCCCCGCAGCACCAGAGGAAGCCGGGGCCCGCACACTTCATATTATCACCTGAGGTGCTCTGTGCGGGCCTCCGGTGTCCCCAGGGGGTCTCCACTGCACAGTAGGGTTTTAAAGATGGCCGCCGCAAGTAGCGGTGGCCATCTTTAAACCTGGAATGTGCCCACATTAAATTTAATATATTGCCGAATTGGCAATATATTAAATGAAAATCATTCCCTGGTGGGGAATCAGTATGAGCTGCATCTCTTGCTGATGCAGATCATACGGATCGCTCCCTCGTGGTGCCGCAGCTGATTTAGCAGGGATCGATCAGTATGGTCTGCACCAGTGCAGCAGACAGAGTGCAGAGCACACTGATCCTTCACTCGACCACCAGACCAGAATAATCCCCAAGTGCCACACTGGACCCAGGGATGCAGCCCCCCTTCCTGCAAAACAGGTAAGCAGGAAAGGGGGACATTTTTTAATTAACTATTTTTACTTTTAATAGTTGTGTTTTTTGTTATAAATGAAGCTATGAGTGTGTTTTTTTTTTTTTATGTGTGTGATATGCGTGTTTTTTTCTTTACGTGTGTGTTTTTTGAACCACTTCCCGCGGGTTGGCGTAAATGTATGTCCTCCGCTGGAAGTGGTTATACCAAGAATATGGTTGCTCCTGCAGCCGTGTTCTTGGTACCGTTTTAGGGCCTGTTCACACGACTTGCATCGCATTGCGGCTGGCTCACTTTTTTGCCGGGCAGGAGGGGGGTGTAGTAGGCCAATGAATTAGATGGCGCCGTAGCCTCCGGCCGCTGTGAGATTGCCCGCAAGGGATCGCAGGGCACATTGTGCCTGCGGTCTGGTGTGGTCAAAATGCTGCAAGCACTATTTTGAATGCACTGCAGGTACAATGTGCCTTGCGATCCCGTGCAGGCGAACGCATTGCAGCTGGAGGGCGTGGCTACGGCGCCACTCACTTCAATGGCCCACCACGCCCACTCCAGCCTGGAAAAAAAAGTGAGCCGGCCGCAATGCGGGCAGTGCGTTCTGGCCAGAATCGGACCGGAGCGCACTGCTTATGGTGTGAACTAACCCTAAGCCCTGTGTCCAGTAGACATGTGCGATTCGTTTCAGAAAAATTAGTTTTCTGGACTAAATTTGTTAGCGGTAGTCTGTTCGCATTTTCGTTTGTGGACGAATTTTCTTTTCATTGCAGCAAAGTGACAGTTAAAAAAAAAAAAAATGAATGTCACTTTGCTGCAAGGAAATGAACGATACGAACATGAAACGGAAATGAACATTCGTACCGACTACCGCTAACGAATTTCGTCCAAATCCCGAACAGGGGGTGAGCTTTGCCCGGAGATGGGCTTTAACACTTCTTCCAACTAACTTGATTTGAGGGAAAGTGGGGCCCAAGTTCCAGCTGGGACTGCTTAGCTACAGAAGGCATCAGACCGCACAGGATTTCCTAAATATGCTCTAAATAAACAAATAAAAAAACTCTTGCAGCGTGGATATAGGTAGATTACCTTCTCGGGATCAGATGTGGGTTTTGTGCCCTTTCCATCTTTTGTGAGGGATGTTAAAGATTTGAAGAGAATTCTGTTGGTTTCCATACTCGATTGCAACTGTAAAAAACATAAAATTGACCCATTCAATGAGTCAGTGTAAAGAGAATGGTGGTCTAAAAAGTGCGGTAATCCATAGCAACATATCTGATTTTAGTTTATTGTAGTCACATCAGCTGGAGGGAAGAGTTAAAGTGCATCTGTACTTCATCTTAAATGTAAAAGACCTTCCTAACAGCAGACGCCACAAGATACCTGCTATTGCCTCTCCTGTACCCCTCTTGGATTTCACTGAGAATTATATAAATAGATTGCATTTTATATAAAACACAAAACTACCAGTGTATCTAAACCCAAAAAAGACAAAAATTTATTATATTACAGCTTACTAGTTCTTAGATGTGTTGGCTGCATTAGTTTCCTTTTTTAGACTTTTTTTTCACCTGGTGTTTTGGCCAATAGCACACTTCTTGTCTTAGGGTGACAACGTAGACACAGGGGCGTATCTGCCGCGAGGCAAACAAGGAGTTTCCTTTGGGCGACAGATTCCAGGGGGGTGGCAAAAATGCCACCCCCAAAAACATTTAGGAAGATGGGCTGCACAGAAACCGGCAGCCTGGCTGCCTAATGTAAACGGGGAAGAAGCGGCAGATTGGGCGCTGAGGCAGCGGAGGAGGCTGGAGTCTCCCGTGCCAGGTAGGAAGACGACTGTGCTGGGAGGGCCCAGCATAGATTCTGCACAGCCCACCAAAAATCCTGCACAGCCCCCCTGAGATCCTGCAGACTCTCTGCAGCTTTTGTGGCGGGCTTTTCAGGATCTGTGGTGTGCTTTGCAGGATCCGTAGGGGGCTCTGCAGCCTGCAAAGCCCACCACAGATTCTGCACAACACCCCTGAGATTCGGCAGACTGCAGGGTCTCAGCAGGATCTGTGGGGGGGCTTTGCAGGATCCGTAGGGGGCTCTGCAGCATGCAAAGCCCACCACAAATCCTGCACAACCCCCCCGAGACCCTGCAGACTGCAGGGTCTCTGCAGCTTTTGTGGTGGGCTTTTCAGGATCAGTGGTGTGCTTTGCAGGATCCGTAGGGGGCTCTGCAGCCTGCAGTGTGCACTGTATCCTGCGACTGATAGGTTACGCAAAAAGTATTAAACAGGAAGGGGTGGGGGAAATTTAGTGGGGGTGGTGGGGGGCGCCAAAGTTTTGCCTTGCCTAGGGCAGCCCCAAACCAGAATACACCACTGCGTAGACACCCTGGACAGCAGCATTGTCTCCCTGTGGGGAGGGTAGCATTGGATGGACTAGCAGATTTAGAAGGACTTGACTAACAAATTAAATCTGAACTCTTGCTAACACCATTTTAGCAGCACAGCAACAGTTTGTGCTCCTTTTTGGATAAAGGATTCCCCTAAATGAATAGATGCTGAACATTATAAGCACCCGTTTGTGTTTAAATGGTTTGTCTCAACACTCTATCTGCCATGTTTGCTTGACAGCTTGATCTGTTAAAGCTGAAAAATACCAGATGTATTGGCTGGATCACCAGGTGAAAATAAAGCCAAAAAAGAAAGAGAATTCAGCCACCAAATGTAAGAATTTGTAGGCTGCTATAGATTCCATTTTGTTTATTTGCGTTTAGATAAATTTATAGTAACCAACAACAGCAATCAATAATCTTACATTAGCTATCAGAAGAATTAAGGTTGTCATGTGTTACTGCAAATCGCTGATCTGCCATTATAAAAACAAAAGCCCATAACTCTCACGTGGCAAGGAATGGACACAAAACATCTCAATCATTCTGCAGATCTGTAGGGGTTGCTGAACATACCTGCGTTGCTTTCTCCTCAATCCGTTTCCGCTGGCCTTCCTCTTCTCTGAGCTTCTGTTCAATGTCACGAATTTTATTCTGGAAAAAAATAAATTTCATTATCTGGAATCAAAAGGATAGTCTTTAATGAAGAAATGTAGAACTGTATAATGTTTGATCTCCCTTTGCTCTGGTTATCCAACACTAACACATAAAATGAAGCTGCTCTCTGTGCAGGCTTCATGTGTCACCTACATCACTGCATGTGGTCTCCGAAAACGTGGACGATATAAAAGACACAGCTCAGCAGACATGAGCAGCTCTGACATAAGGCTCCCAACATTCTTGGGCCGGGGCATGTGAGCTTTCTGAGGTAATGTAAGATGAAGATTTATTCAGAGCACTTTTAAAAAGACAACAACACCTTTGTTTTTGAAAAATCAATAGTTATGAGCCTAGCACACTTATTAAATCAGAAATAGTAATTAAAATAAATTATATAAATAAAAAAATTAATTTTAAAAAACTTCCCCCCCCTCCAAACTAAAAATTTTGATATGTTCTGTTCACCTTATGCAGTTTAGTTTAACATCTCTCTCTGGGCCGGTTATTAACACCTAGCTCCAATTATGCACATGCATTCAACACCTGGTTGCGACTAACATTATGTGGATAGGAGCAACATTCACCATATTTATTCCCAGATAATTTTTGTACAAGTCTTTCTGTAATGAGAAAGCTGGTCGGATAACCTGTGAAACGTCTTCAAGAAAAATACAGCAAGTCCAGTTGCCTTGACTTATTTTGTACAGATAGACCATGACCTGGATGAATGAGAACCTTCACAGACATATGCAGTTTAGGGGCCCCGGTGTGATTACAAAAGCTGCGCTGTACAAGTACTATAGTATATAGTGCTCACTGAATGCTGGCACTTGCAGTGCACAATATAGTACTTCCAGTGTACTCGATTGTCCACAGGAGCCTGGATGGTCAGTTAGGGATGAAGGCCACCAATTTGGTTGATATTAGCTACAAAGTTCCGTTAGGCAGACCACGGCAACATCTGATAATAGGTGAAATAACAGATAACATTTATACTGCTGATTCACGAAATGTACTAGGCACATTACAATATTGATTATTAAAACAAAGGTGCCATTGTCCTTTATAGAAGAACTCCACGCAGAAATTTTATGAAGCCTTGCAGTGGGGCTAACTGCTTGTTTTTGCCTAGGGTTAAAAAAAAAAAAAAAAGCTTATATTCACCTAAACCTCTGAGCTGGCTGGCTCTTAGACCGGTCCCAAGAGTGTCTCTCCCCCTCCACTGCAGTGGTCCAGGAGTCCTCGAGTCATAACGTCCAATACAGTGTATAGTGCGTGAGAATGCCGAGGGATATACCCTAACCGCAGTGGAGGAGACAGGCTGGAGGGAGAGCTGCCGGTTTCAAGGTTCATGCGAGTATAACTTTTTTTGGACCTCAGGTAAAAATGAGCCGTTAATCCCACTGCAAGGGTTAATAAAAGTTCTGCCCACAGTTCTTCTTTAAACTTTAGAGTAGGTTGGCATTATACAAACACAGCAAAATAAGTGATATAATGGAATATTTTTGTGATGGTCTCTTCCCAGCAATCCATCCAATTCTGTACTTTGAACAACTTCCACAATTCTGCTTCCAGGGGGTGATATGTAACAATGGAGGACTTAATAAAGCCAAAATATATTCCTTGCTGTAATGAGACGGCTTCCCATGGACAGCACACTTTACCTATTTCCAGACACAGCTTACCTCTGACACAACTTGTATTGTAGTTAGCTTCATGTATTCTTGTTCCAGTTTATCGAGCTTTTCTCGCAAATTAATTTTCTCAAGTGCTTTGTCACTTTCAAGGGTCACCTGCAGAAGAGAAAATGACAATCATATTGTAGGTTAGCATTGTGCAGCTAAGAAATCATACATGTGCGATGTGTCTGTGGGAGATAAGCTTGGGATTGGACGCTGTAAATGCTGTTAAGGTGACAAGTTCCTCCCGAGCTAGAGCAAGGTTCAAAATTAGAGAAACCTGGTTATTGATTTTGCAACCACAAACTCCGGAGACATTTACATAAAAGAATTGATTTCAGTTCCTGTCCCTAAACGAGCTTGTAATCCAATGACCTGGCCTCAGCTGTACATTGAAGAAAACCCAACCAAACATGAAAAGGACATACAAATCACATGCAAAAAAGTGTCTCACATTTACCAACACACATTCCAAAAGCTATTCCGAAGGATAATTAACCACTTCTGCTCTCATACCTGTATACCCCTTATGGATCCCTTTTATTTGGCAATAACTTTGTCATTATTAAAAGATAAAATCATAATATACTATAATTTATGAGCTTATTTTTTTTTAACTAGGCTCTTTTACCAATTTTTTTTTGCAAAACAATGTTTTTCTACGGAATCTATAAAAGAAAAAGATGCTTTAAAAAGGTTTTTTTTTCCTGTTTTGACCAGCGTTAGCTTTACTGTAAATTAACAAAAATTATAAATGTTATTCTTTAAATTTGTCCCATTTAGGATGATACTAAAATGATGTTTCTGGTAAAAAGTGAGGCAAACCAAATTAAGTGATTTGCAAAATAAAAAAAACAAAAACATATTGGAGTGGTTCAGGAAGCATGAGACATCATTGTCACACATGGATTGCCCACCACACAGTCCAGACCTTAACCCCATTGAGACTTTACACAGTGGTCTGACTCTCCCATCATCACTACAAGATCTTGGTGGAAAATTAATACAACTCTGGATGAAAATAAATGCTGCGACATTGCATAAGCTTATCGAAACAGTGCCACAGCGAATGCGTGCCATAATGAAAGCTACAGGCGGTCCAATGTGACTATTTTTTTTGACCAGCAGTGTATATAACTTGTATGGTTTCTTTAAGTGATGTCACTGTATTTACAATTCCATTTATATGAAGATCCCCTTTGATCTACAGATGAATAAAACTGTAAATACAATTAAAACAACTGATACAAGAAAAATCTAAACAATTGCTGCATTATATTGACTTGATGACACTTGCAGACTGCAAGTGACATTTTACACAGGATTGCCTGCATTGTGACACCGCTAGTCATACCCTTTAAGCTCTCAGTAACCATATGGCTTTACCTGTCTCTGGAGCACAGAGTTCCTTTCACTCTCAGCATTCCATGCCGTCTTCTTCATGTACTCCAGATGCTTTTCCAAAAGGCTGCACCGGGACTGTGCAGCCAACAGCTGTCTGGTGAGATCTGTAAGAAGAAAAAACAAAGAAAAAATCACCACAAAGTAAATGACTGCAAAAGTGAACTGTTCATTTTGGTCTTGGCCAAATAAAGCAGATATACTCACCTGATTCTTGGTCCCGAGGCCATCAGCACTCACCTCTCTCCAGCTGTGGTATGTCCCTCGATGTCCTCACATTTAATGCAAATCAATGAATTTGCATGAAACGTGATGACATCTATCGGTCCTTAGCCCAGGCAAAAAGAGGCTGTGAGAACCGGTCTAGCAGCCAGACAGGACAGAGAATCAGGTGAGTTATCTTTATTTCCCCCCTAGAACAAATTGAGCAGTTAAAAAGGAGAACTATGAGGTGAGTGCTTTTCACTCACCTCATAGTTCTAGCTGACCTGTGACAATGAGACTGTCACAGGTCGGCTCAGTAGATCGGGAGGTGAGCGAACATATACCGTCGTTCGCTCACCATCTCGATCCTGTCACGGCTCTCTGCCGTGACAGGGGAGGGGCTGGATTACCCCTCCCTGCTCCGATCCGCCAGCGCTGACTGTCGGAACAGGCGGGGAGGGTACAGCTGGCTCTGCCTCTAGATAGGCAGAGCCAGCTGTCACTCACGCAGCTGGGCGGATCTCGACATCGATGTCGGGATCCGCTCCGGCATCTCAGTATACAGTACAGCTACAGCTCGCGGTATACTGAGCTTAGGGTAACGGGAGGACGCTAGTTTGTGTCCTCCCGTTACCCTAAGGTGAACTATGGGGGAAAGCCCTGACCCCATAGTTCTCCTTCAACCTTCGCAGTGCACACGGTTAATTATAGTTATAATCCTGGAGTTTGTTTAAATAGAGTAGGGAAAGGTTAAACCCCCAACCCCAAATCAGGGTTTCTGCCATCTGTGAAATGCCTTCTTAGTTATCACTAATGAAAGACATCCCCTTTATTGCTGCTGTGTTTGCAATCTCGAATTTTGGATTTTTTTTCCTTCCCAAGACAGATTTGGAGGGTGAATCTAATTAAAAGTGGAACTCTGAACTCATAGATATTTTTGTAAATACGGATGTGTAATGAAATATTGCCTCTCGAGTTGTAATGGCTGCTTCGCTGTACCATAAAAATCAATACTTTTGTTTTTGCCAAATAGCAGAGCACCCTCTCTTGATATGACAGCTGCGTGTCTCATAGATTGAAATCGCTAATGACGTTTACTGTCACCCCCCCTCGGCCAGTCACAGAACACCATGTTACCATTCACAGAAAACATGGTGTTCTGTGAATCACCAAGGGGTGTGGCCTGCAAAAGGACATCTTTCATACCTATTGGGGGCCGGAAATACAGCGGGAGCTCTGCTATCTGTCAGAAACCGTATCAGTTTTATTGTACTGAGGTGCGGTGGGTGGAGCACGTGGGAGCGAGTTAGAGGAGACATCGCTGCCAGACAGGAGAGTGACGCCGCCCTCAGCATCTCCCTGATTGCAACTCCTATCTAAGTAGCTGAAGCTGCTGTGCACAGGGAGAAGAGCACAGTGACATCTTTAGGCAGAGAAGTCCGTTTACCTTCAAATGCTCAGTAATCACCATCATTGGCTATTATTGTGGTCACATGATTATGAACCACAGTGCTTGCATCCTGATCATTAAGCGAAGACCTGCAACTGTCAGCAAGAGAACTAGCACTGTGTACAGGTGCACGCTACTAAGTCACAGCTACACTGTTCATTTATGTTTTCACAGCAAGGGGAGCTGCACCCGATAAGTTTAAATAATAGACTGCAAATACCTTAGGAGGTATTGCCGTCTCTGTGTCTTGAGGACACCAGTTTCACGCTGCGAAAAAGGAAAAAAATAACGCACACCGAGGATACCACCAAGTAGAGTCTTTATTAGGCAGGGTTCACACCTAGGCGTATTGAATATGCCCGTGGGTCGCGCAATTTTTTTTACCGCGATTCGCGGTAAAAAAACGCGCGTTTCCAAGGGCTACTTGGCTGTATCCCAATGGAAACGCCCAACAAAAACGGCCCAAAGAAGTACATGTACTTGTTTGCGCGTAGGCCGTTTTGTAGCACGTTCAGACGGGCGGAAATACGGAAAGGTGTGAACCATACCCATAGAAAACAATGGGATTTTCATGTTTGTACGTTTTGTAGAGCGTTCATAGAGCCTTGAACGCGCGACAAAACGTAAAGGTGTGAACAGGGCCTTAGGGTTTCTCCAGCCTAGTCCCGGTCGCACTAATGCTGGCCATACACAATGCGAACTTTGGACAGTTATTGATGAAATTCGTACACTGGGTGCTGCTGCCCGCACCTGGACGGCATTCCCTCGATCAGAAGAGCAAAGGAGCCGGATGGAAAATCTTCAGCTGATTGGAGCTTGCCAGCGACCGCTGTCAGAATACAATGTAAAACAGCAGAGGCTTAAGAGTGTGGATGTAAGAAGAAAATATAACGGATTCCATCGGCCGGCAGGTTGCACAAAAAAGAAATAGAAGTGTATGGCCAGCTGAACACTACTCCCCGCCACACAGCTGCTAATGCATTTCACCCTTTGGGCTTAATTGTTCATCTGTACGATTAAGCTCAGTGGGTGAAACGCATGTTACGGAGGAGTATTATTAGTGTGAACAGAATGGTGAAACACTAATAAAGACTCTACTTGGTAGTATCCGCCATTCTTCCTATTTCTGTGAATGAAGCTGCAGTGTGGACGAGCTCAATTACCTGCACCCAGGAGGCTCTCACAGGGTGGAGAGTCCAGTATGGGAATCGGAGTGATGATGTTTGTTTTGGAACATTAGTAAATTAATGTCACCAGTTGCCATCATTAATTTTCTTGGTGGGACAAGATGTGAAATGGTATCTACCTTATGGGGTCTTAAGGTGCCCATACACCTTATAACCATCGCAAGACTTTTGTCTTGCGATGGTTGTAAGCTAATTAAAACTTTGTACGATCTGCCCATCTTGGAGAGGCAGATCGTACTTGCGATCATCGAAAGCCCGCCCCGCAGAGGGGAGGGCTTCCAAAGACTGCAATGCTGAACGGGCAGTGTGTGCTTGTGCATACCGGCCCGTTCGGCATTTGTCTTACGAGCATGCCACAAACCCGCCGACAATCGTGCGATTCTCGGCGGGTTTTCAAACATGCTCATTAGACAAAAGACGTGCGACCGTACAGAAGAAACGGTCGCACGCCTTCCATACACCTGCTGATTATCGTACGATCGTTTGATTTCCCGCGATTATCGTGCGATAATCGCAAGGTGTATGGGCACCTTTAGACTGCAGTAAAAATCGAAGCAGAGGATCCCTGAGGTGATCAGAATGCAGAGCAACATGGTGGCTGAGGCCAGGTAGGGAGAAAGCAGAGTGTTTCAAGTAGTGACAGCACACTGAATGTACAGCCAACAATAAACTGGGGGTGAAAGTTTAACAAATACACTTCAGGGAAAGCAGAGGGAATGCTGGGACCTGGCTTGTTGCTGTGTGTTCCTAGCAGGAGAGCCCGTTCTGTACCTCTATTCTTTCTAGACACATCGTCCACATGGTTGTCCTTAGACTCCCTCTGATCATCCAGCTGCTGCCTATAATCTGAAGACTCCTTCGCCAGTTGCTTTATATTCTGCTCGGCCTTCAGCCGATCCAGTTCCAGCTGGCGGAGCTTTTCCTGAAGATTCTTTAAAGCAGAGATTATGGCTGTGGAAATGAAAAAGACAATATTAGAAGGGGAGGTCTTTGGTGAAAGAGTTGAGAACCCTCGCTGAGGGAGAGGTGCAGTCTTTGTAGCGCCATTAACATAAACATTAAGGGTCAGCTTGATGTAAATATTAAAAATAATAAATGTGGGTTATAACACGTCAGATTTTTTTGTCATTATGTCCCGATGGGAAGATCAACTGTCTCTGCCCCCTCCTGTTTTCTACTGGCAGCCTGTAGTGGGTGGGGCCCATTGGATTAAAGGAGAACTATGAGGTGAGTGATTTCCACTCATCCTCATAGTTAGAGCCGACCTGTGACAAAGAAGCTGTTACAGGTCGGCTCTAGCGATCAGGAAGGGAGCAGAAATATGCACCGATCTGGTCACTTCCTGATCATCTTCCTGCAGTGAGCGGTGACTGTCAGTCACCGCTCACCACAGGGATTCCCCCCTCCCCTCTCCGGTTCTCCAGCACTGAGTGGAGGAACAGACGGGGGAGGGGGCGGGTACAGCTGGCTCTGCCTCTAGATAGGCAGAGCCCGCTGTCACTCACACAGCTGGGTGGATCTCAACAGTATTGTTGGGATTCGTCCCGGCTGCAGCGCTCTCGGTATTGCCCGCGATATACTGAGCTTTGGGGTCATGGGAGGACGCTAGTATATGTCCTCCCGTGACCCTAAAGAGAACTATGGGGAGAAATACTTACCCCGTAGTTCTCCTTTAATATTTGGGTTTGCAAAGGCATTTGCAGCACACAAATGGAAAAGATTTTACAAAGGGGGGGATTTATCAAAGCAACTGCACGTGTTTTAGCCTCTTAAATCATTTTTTTTTTTTTTATGTGCAAATCTGTTTAGCCGCTCCTTTTAACGTGCGCTTACTTGGACTAGAGCTTGCACTATTTTTCCGATTGCAGGTGTTTTGCGAAAATTCGCAACTGTTTACATCTGCACTTGTCCTGCGGCTGTCTGAAACTGGAGCATCACCTTACAAAGCAATCCCTACTTAAGAAGTCCCCATAACCACTTCTTCAAGAAGAGACAGTTTAGCTTTTTGCCTGGAGTTACGAGTCTTCTTTCCTGGAGTCTATTAAATCTCATTTATGAACAACATTACACTAGCAACATTAGTCTGGGGCACATATATCCCATGCGACCGTATGCGAGTTCAAACACTCGCAATTGCTATGATAAATTACCCTAGTGTTGCTTAATTGGGCAAAGCAACAGTGTCTCATAGGGCCCATTCACACTTCATAAAGTGCGTTCCGGTTAGTGGCTGGATCGCATAGAGCAAGCCGCCCTGCGTGTGGTATAGCAATGCCCTGCATTCCGGTGCGATCACAAAAAATAGTGCACACACTATTTTTTGCAATCGCACCAGACCGCAGGCATTGCTGTAACATACATTCTAGTACAGGCGATCGCACTGCAGGCATGAGGTGCCGATGTGGTGCCATTAACTTGAATGGCACCACCACACCCCTTCCCGCCCCAGAATGCGGGAGGCTGCAATTATGCGATCCAGTGCACTCCAGCCACTAACTGACGGAACGCACTGGATGTGGCGTGAGCGGGCCCTTAAACAAGTATATCTTGCAACAGTCTTTGTGAATTAACTTTAATAGCTCAACTGAACTTTTCAGCTTGAATTAGCTAAACACATTTTTAAACCATAGTTTTTTATTGTTTTAAAACGTCAAGGGGTACATCACATTACAACACAATACAAGGTGCACAAGTAATAAGCACTGCCTTAGGGGTATCATTGGAGATGTAATTTAGTAATATTATTACAGGTGATGTGTCCGTATACTATTTAAAGACATAGATAAAAAGAAGCGAGAATAAAAATGAAAGCTGAACACATTTTAGGTGCTTTAAAACAAAAAGATGTTAAACGTCGTACTGTTAATTTACTTTAGCACGCAGCCACAGCCCGAGTAGAAAAGTCCAACCCCTGCCATAGGCTGCAGAGTGGGACCCTTGTTCTCTGTGTGGAAGCAGTAATCTACCTGCAGAGATTTGACGTACCCTCTGCCGAGTCAGAATTTGAGCTGTCCAATCAGCAGGGAGCACTTTCACATCAGTACCTGCCCTCGAAGAGCTTACAATCTGAGGTCCCTATCTCACATGCATACATACAGGTCCAATTTAGACAGGAGCCAATTAACCTTCCAGCATGTCTTTGGAGTGTAAGGGTAAACCAGAGTACCCGGAGGATATCCACACAAGCACAGGGAGAACATGCAAGAACAACTCTAGTATTTATTCCTATTACAATGCTGATGTCCCAACAGGATAGTATATGCTGGGAGTTTACAACTTCTTTAACAATTGTAACTTTTTTTCCAGACAGAGTACGAGTACCAATACTTTTCCTCAAATACTCACCGATACCTGTTTTTTTTTTTTTAGTGTCATGTGACGGTTTTTCTAAAACAATACAGACTAATGATTTTAGCACACTGGTGGAGTGCCAGAGCCCGGTCACACCATACCTGTACATACTCTGTGCTGCTGCTCTGTTCCAGGGTGCCGCCCTGACGTCTCGGGTGGAGAGTCTCAGGAGGGGGGAGATGTGCGGGCCGTCGCAAGCGCTGTAAACAAGTGCCGCGTGATTCCCAAGAAGGATGCCGAGAGGTCCCTGCAAGCACGCAACCCAAGGCAGCCACTTTAATTTGAATAATTAAAGCACCGGTAACGGTTTTTGATATCCGAGCACTTGCACGAGTACTCAGTATCCACCCGATACTGGTATCAGTCATCACTAACCTTAACTATGAAAAACAATGTACCTTATTTTTGTATCACTCGGCTGTACATGCTCAAATCATCTCCGAATTGGTGCTGACACTGTCCTTCCTTCTGGAGGGTGACTACTTTTGTTCCCCATGATCCCTGTGTGTGTTGTAAAGTAGTCACCACTCCAAGCTTGCTCCTGTGATGGACTACAATCTCAATACAAATGAGTAAACTAAATATGAGATTGTAGTCCATCCTGGGAGGGAGCTTGGAGCGGTGACTACTTTACAACCCACACAGGGACCATGGGGAACAAAAGTAGTCACCCTCCAGAAGGAAGGACAGTGTCAGCACCAATTCAGAGATGATTGGAGGATCTACAGCCGAGTGATACACAAATAAGATACATTTTTGTGAATAATTAAAAAGGTACTTGAATGTATTTGTAAGATTTCACTCCGGAGTTTAGCGTCACTTTATTTGCATCGTCTTTGGTGGCTGAAATGTACATCTATGGACTCCACGTACAGAAACGTTGACTGGATCCTCCAATAAACTCTTCTACAGCTCACTGATGTAGGACACTAGGCAGGCCACACATATCAGTTTCAATAAACACCGATGGTTCCTGACACAGCACAGATGTTACAAGCAAGGCGACTCATGAATAATTCAAATCAGTACTATCAGTATCCAACCTCGGAAATTATTTATACTGTTGAAGATCAAATGTAAAGTTGACTAATAATCAATCTAATGGTAAACGCTGCATAAAAATGGAAAAAGACAATAAGCATTATATAAACTTGAAAACTGCAAATGATCATAATATATATGCATTTTGTATTTTGGTAGCTCTCCAAGGATCTTGAGGAGTTCATCTACCTTCGGGCTAGTGATAGGCAGCACAATTTTTAAACTGAAACTGCAACATGCAGATCGCTCACTGGGTTGATGATTGCTGCCTTACCAATGCCGATATTGATATATTGACAATGGTAGATTACACATACAGGATTTATGAGGCATTGCACACAATGATTAGATGAAAATACAGCATCAGGGTAGGCAAAATCCAGCCTGGCAGCTGTGGTGCAACTACAAATCCCATTAGGCATTGTAACCCTGACAGCCGCAGGCATGACTGCCAGAGGCAGATGGGATTTGAGTTTTACCAGAGCTGGATGGCCGGAATTTGCTTACCTCTGGTTTAGGGGGTACAAGGAGATATTACTTACCATACCCTGCGATCCTCTATTCTCAAGGATGTGGGTAGTCCAGCTGGGGCAGGGTTAATAGCCCTGCAATGCACATGGAGGGGGCAAGTGTGCAATTATGCTAGGAGCGTCTTAGATAGGTGGTTTTGTGGAAGCGGTCGAGATAGAGAGCGCCTGCTAGAGCGAGAGATAGGGTAAGTATGCAAGTATTTCTCCTTATCCCTGCACTCCTAAACTTAACAAGCATTTAACCCCTGCAGAACCAGGGGTGGTGTTGGGGTTGAGTGGTTGCAGTGCAAGTGTTTTTCTCCTGTTTCCCCAGAGTTGGGCTGTAACTGCTCCAAAAAGGCCTCCTATTCTATTGTTGCCAGTTCCCTTCTCTTGTAATGCGTCTTTTAAGTTGCCTCAACAGAGTTTTTTTTTTAACGTTTACTAACTTTCTGTAGTGGGGACTGAAAGCTGTCCAATCACTGTGCGCAATGCCAGCTGAACTTTTGCTGCTCAGCAGACTAAACAGATGACAATCTTTTGACACATTCCATAGTGATGGATTAGGGTAACCGAGTTCTACGTGTGGCCACAAATGCTGGCATATGTTCCCGACACTCAGCAGAACTAATGAAGTGGCTTGGAGAAACTATGAAACATCTTCAACATTACAGAACAAGTGCAGTGGATTGTGACTAACTACTACTAGCTATACCATGACCGGAAAAGTAAATGTTACCTTTGCCATTGCTCTCTGGATAGGCGTGAACTGGTTTGTCTAGAGACCTCTGGAAATCAGAATTTATGAATGGCCTTCCACTGGGGTAAGAGGTATAGGAAGTGCTGGACTGTGCACCTTTAGAAGTTCCAGGCAATGGACTGTCCAGCTAAAAAGACAACAAAATAACAATTTATATAGTGCTGACAACTTACACAGTGCTTTACATATTGTACAACCACGTCAGTCCCTGCCCTCAAGGAGCTTACAATTTAAGGCCCCAATCTCACATACGAGGGCCAATTCAGACCGGTGACAATTACCCTTCCAGCATGTGTTTAGAGTGTGGGAGGAAACCCACCCCAGACCGGGAAGGACATACAAACTCCAAGCAGATAGTGTCCTGGTTGGAATTCATACCATGGCCCCAGTGCAAGGCAGGAGTGCTAATGTAGCTCTCTGAAGAACAGGATGAAAACGATGAGACTTGCATAAAACGTCAGATGTCACAATGAGGCCTTGTTCACACCAAATACAGAGCACATCCGCTCAGGTTTCTGCACATGGAGTGCAGTGGGTTGTGCCGCTTTTTGATGCGTTCCGGCCCGTTTTTGGTTAAAAAAAAATGTTTTAAAAAGTTTAACATGGGCTTTCAGTGCGTTCCAGGCATTTGCATGCGTTTTTGATGCGTTTGCATGCGTTCCAGAGCAGGTAAAATAGGGCTTGCTGCAGTTTTTTCACCTGCTCTGGAACTGAACGCTGCGATGTGAACTGGAGCAAAAAATCCCATTGGAATACATTGGACGCAGTTTTGATCCGCTCTGTAACTGCTCTGCACCTGCTCCGCGCTTGGTGTGAACAAGGCCTGATATTTAGATCCAGAGATGGAGACGTGAGCTTTTCACTGACCTCTGCTTTTGCATTAGTTCACAGAAGAATCACTATTAATTGCCCAGGCATGTGACAAACCTGTGGCAACCTACCAGACAAATCAATAAATGTGGCATTGTTTACAACACAGCGCATAGTTGCATGTTACTGTGTGTCGTGGTAAACTGCCACACATGTGCATCAGAGCTGTGCCACCTTAGGGCTCAGTCACACAGGCACAGAGGAGCGTACACTGTAAAAAGGCCGTCTCTGCGCCTGGGAGCCATGAACACAGCCTACCTGTACAAATCAATGGGAGGCTATGGAACACAATGCTTCCAGCATGGACATCTGTGCCCAGGGGATATACATCCATACCTGTATGCAAGTATACACTCGGAGCAGCGTTCACCAGTGTAAAGCCTGCCATGTTTTTTTTACAGGGGAGCGGTACTCAACACTTATGGCTTCCAGGCACACCTCTGAGCCTGTGTGAATGAGCCGTAAGGCAGTGTAGGTCTGACACACATGCATTGCTGCGCACCACAACACATGGTGATGTCTGTATGCAATGCCTGCAGCTTCCAGGTGCCACAGATGTTTCTAAGGGTCCATTCAAACTGAATGGCACTACAATGTGCTAACGCATGTGAAGTATATTAAAGTGACATCAAACCCCCCC